ATGTGAGTAGGAGTGACTTTTTTTTGTCCCCCCCCCCCTGTATATCCCATGACACTTTCGCTCAGGCTGACAAGTGTTGCTTCTACCCCATTGTGACGCGCGAGTCAGCAGATATGTAGACGAGCCTCACGCAAGACAATGGAAACTACACAGTACTTGTGGAGAGGAACGCCATCACATCAAAAAATACAACAGACGGAGCATCTTCGTCGAATTCTTTTTATTGCTCCTTCATCGTCTCGCAGTACAAGCCTAGGAGCAGGAGGGGGTTCGGTCATTCAGTCGACAGCCTTAAATTGGCACAGTATTGTTGTCATTAATAGAGTGCTGGCGTTCTTTTGCTGTTCAGAAAAATTCGAAATGGTGCAGCAAAACTGCTTTCCTCAGAAAGCTTTCGCGTTTGCAGAAAAAAATCGTATGGATCGATGTCCAAATTCATTGCTTTCCCTGCTTTGTTCCTCTTGCTTCCACCCTGGGATTATTCCTTCTTCTTTTTCAATCATATGAAGCTGTTTTTATCTCATCCAGCAGCAGACTATGTGCGTGAGCGAAAGGAGTAAGGAAGCTACATATCGAAAAGGGGGCTACTGTTGCACTGGTTAGGAGAGGAACAACTTAGCGGTAGCACCAGGAAATGGTAATGCGATGATAAAAATCAGGCGGTGTTTCTTCGGCTGATGTTTAGAAGTTTTGCTAGAAGACTGAATTTTCGAAAAACTTTTTTTTTCAGTTGCAGCAGCGGTTGGGTTACTTTGGACCACTCCCGTATTCTTTACAAAGTCTTTGCTCTTTACACTTTCTGCCGAAACCGAGGAACATGTCTTGTGAGTTTGAGTTTTTTTACGGATTGGAGCTGGGATCTGTTCTCAAGATGGTTAGTTTCTACGAACTATTCAAGAGGCAGTTCGGTGCAGACGTTTGTGAAATATTTGGAATCATTGCACAGTACACTGCATGTTGTTGCTTCACGTCCCCGAATTTTTCAGGTGAAGTGTCTTCTTTTATTTCAGATGAACTTGCAAGCGATGGCAATTACATCGGAAAAGGAAAAACTGTGCCTATGGGTGAGCCCAATTGAACGCTTGCTTTAACTTGTGGCAGTTTAACTCGTAATTATTTCAGCTCCAGCTCGTCCAGAAATTCGTCGGGAAGCGGAAGAGTTCATCAATTTTCTTAACAAGGCGGTGACACCTTTCCACGGCGAGTGATACTTGTTATGTCTTTTGCGTATTGCGTTATAGCTGACCTTCTCTTTGTGGCGTTGCCAGGTACGACGATAAAGGAACCTTTTGCTCGTGGCGCACATCTGCAATCTTTTCAGTGAACAGGATGCCGGAAATCTTGTGGCAAAATACTCTTGAAGTGTGTCGCTATTGGCAGAATCAAGCACTTGTTCACTGCCCTGATTGTCTTTAGAAAACGAATCATCCACCACTGTAGTCGAGCTCAGGAGGGCCTTGCCCCATGTTTCGTGGCAAATTCCATCGATGTCGCGCAGTGTAGAAGGCTATTATGAAGTTGTTTGACTGATTTGAACGTACCCGAAAATTTCCAGTTGAAAGCCTAGGGTCAAGTTCAGCTGTCTGACTATTCACTTTAAAATGTAGAAGGAAAGTCTCTTTTTTGCTCCTCCTCCCCTCTCCTCTCTGTCCAGTAATTTCATCAATGAAAATAGCACGTTATTTGTGGAAACTGGAATAAATCAAAGTGCGATTTTCAGCTGTACAAGAATGCAGAGAACGTCTTCTTCAAGCTGGTTTTGAAGAACTGACTGAGACTACCCGCTGGGATATTAAGCCCATGGGAAAGTATTTCGTTACAAAGTCAGTTTTTACAGCTTATAAGAACAGCAGTAATCTATTATAACAAACTCCTTGGCTTTTCAATCAACTGCGACCAGTACCAGTCTCAGCTTTTGTCTTGGACCCAAAAGACGTAGTTGAACAGAAATAAAGAAGGAAATAGCGTGATAAGAAAAGAACACCTATAATGTTCGAAAACACGTGTTAATGCATGTGTGCATGGAGAAATTGCTCGTAGCTAGGGTGTAAGTATTTATGCGTTGAAGGAGTAGATGAGGTTTGCATAACTGAGCAAAAAGTGACTCGTATCAGCTCATCTGTCTAGTTTTATGCTGCTAATTACAATCGGTCTTGTTTGATTGGATAAAAAGCTTGATTCCCTTGCTTGAGTTCGTTTCGTATTTACCATGAGCACTACACGCGTAGAAAGCCACGCTTTTTCCCAGTATAGCTGTGAGCTTGAGGGTATAATTAATAAACTGATGGTTTATACAACTCACTACGTCTTAATCTCCTATATATTTGTATGTAAATCTGTGTTTCCTGTGCCAATCGCTGATTTTTCAAGAAATCGTTCGGCAATTATCGCCTTCGCTGTTGGTGGTTCATATGTCCCAGGTAACGGATTCGCGATAGTGGTTGCTCATACCGATAGCCCGTGCCTTCGCGTAAAGCCAGTTTCAAAGGTGCAATCCGAGAAATTCAACCAGGTTAGTCCCCCATTCGATATAGTTCAAATAGTGTTCTATGTGCATATGACGGAAGTGCTCCCGTTGAGCCTACGAGTTATGTGAAATTTGAGTCATTTCGTTCTACATTTCGAGTTCAACATAGAAACGTTAAATCATCTAGGTCGGTGTATCGACTTATGGTGGCGGCCTCTGGCGTACCTGGTTTGATCGCGATCTCTCAGTTGCTGGAGAAGTTGTCTTCAGAGCAGTCAGTATCCAAAGTTTATTCGTTATCTGAAGCTGTGATCCATTTAATCTATCATCATGCATGTTAGACATGGCGAGTGTTTTCAGGGAGACACTCTTGCTCGGCGGCTTATCAATATTGATCATCCCATCTTGTACATTCCGAACCTGGCAATTCATCTAACAAAAGATCGAGAGAATTTCACTTGTAACAATGAAACTCACCTTCGACCTATTCTTGAAACTTTCGCTATGGCCGGTATAAATTCTTCTAAGAAGGATCCCTTGTTGGTGCGTTTTTTGATAGAACAATTCTTCAAATACACGAAACGTTGATGGATGGTTTTTGACACTTCTTCTGATCGTTCTGTGATTGAATATATGTTTCAGATTCAATCAGATGCTCCAAAAGATCCACGTGATGTTGTGGCTGACCATCATGCGAATTTCCTCGATCTCGTAGCAGTGGCTGCTCATACCACTGCAGATCAAGTCGTCGACCTCGACCTCTATCTCTACGATTCAAATCCGGCGGTAATAATGCTTATTCGCCTTTTCGGAACATGTATTGTGTTCTCATCTTATGAGGTTCCTGCCGCGCTGAACAAGAAAATTACACATTTTTGCCGAGACCTGAGGAAAGCATGGCACGCGCGCTGCCCTACGCACACACAAGGAGCGCTTGATATGTGAAGAACCGCTCGCAAATCGTTCATACGCACAACTATGGTCATGTGTCGGTGAAGTAAGGGCTTGTAGCTACTTTTGAGAAAAGCGGAACAGCTAGCTCCCTGGTGAATCGATCTCGTCACCACTTTCCTGTGAGTCTGGGCAAAGTAACTGCGCTATCTCGCCCCATACCATTTCGAGGAAACGCCACGCAGATTTCACCTGTGTCTCAATGAGTTGTTTACATAGGTGTATACCTCTGCAACTGCCTGAACTGACTATCTCTCTGTTCGTAGCGATCATTTTGAACAAGCGCATAGTTATTTACGGATAATTTTACGATAAGGTCGGAGGTCAAAAAGAGGAAATATGCCTAGTGGAAAGGTAGGTAGGCTGGTGAGGGTGCGGGATAATACGAATTCCCAAGCGAAGGAAAAGCTTCCAGCGGTCTAGCAGGGCCTACCCGGCCTCCTGCACTCCCACCGATTGGCTCGCTGACTCGAGCCGCTATACACAGAGAACGTTTGCGTCGAACATGCACCGATGAGAATCACCTTACACGCAATCAACGCGGCAAATGAAACTGGTTGGCCCAAAATCTCGGGTTCTGCTTCTGTTGGTGTTGATTTTTCGCACCGGATGTATCACTGACCACCTTGACCTTGATCCGTGATAGGTTGTCTTATTTATTGTGAAACCGCCTTCCTAAACTCCTCTCCTTTCAAAGTGTTCTTACTTTTCTTTGAACATTATTCCCGCTTAATCAGTCCTTTCATCAGAAAGCGCCATCATTGTGCCGTTGTTCCTTCCCATTATGCAAGCAGTTCCAGTTGGTGATCCTTTACGTGTGTTGTGTATTATTTAAGCACCTCAGACTGTAATAAGTAGTTTAAAAAGGCTGGTTCAGGGCGACAGTAGGGCACTAGTGATTGTGACGCTTACTTGATATTCTTGTGTATTCTGAAATTTCCAGAGAACGGTGCATTCATGACGAGTTCATAACCGGTGCGCGGCTCGATAATTTAGTTGGCACTTATACTGCTATGCAAGGTCTTTATGGAATCCTTGATGATGATCGTCTGCGATACTGGATGATGTCAACATTCGCATGGCTGCAGCTTTTGACAACGAAGAGGTGAAATTAGCGAAACAGTGAATTTTGATGATAGACTTAGGTACTAATGAAAGCTGCTTAAAGGTTGGATCTCAAACTGCAATGGGAGCTCAGTCGTCATTCACTGAATACGTTTTGAGACGTCTTGCTGCTGGCGGTGAAGGATGTTCATTTGAAGAGGCTATTGGACGCAGCATTCTGGTTTCAGCGGATCAGGCGCACGCTGCACACCCAAACTATGGCGATCAACACGAGGTAAATAGATTTTATCTGAAGTTTCTAATAGCTGAAAGTATTCGTCTCTGGAAACGGCATTGATATCTTGCCCATTAATCATAGTTTTTAGAGCCATTCTCAAGAAACGACCTCAATCCCTAACGTTGCTACTCTTTCAGAATTTTTATCACCCCCCCCCCCTCAAATGGGTGTTTCGATACGACCACCACCAATATCACCGTCATCATTTTCAGAGGGTCCTCTCTTACGAGCCCACTTTCTCCATTCTGCTCTGAGCTGCCGCCAAAATCGCAAGAAAACACTCAAAAACGACCCACCTTCTCCACGCATCCTGACCTCTGCAGCCATCTCAAAGAGCGATTCGCCTTGCATTTGTTTGAGCGAGTTATCTATGGTCAATTCCAAATAGAACCCCTTCTCAAAATCGTAAATGCAATCCTGCGATGGTAAATACTTGTACCAACGGACAATTAGCCATGTATCCAAGGAGAACGAGAATCACGAAAAATTGCGTTTGTTCTTGGAAAGTGTTTTAAAACCAAGAAAATTACTACTCGTCCCATTCCCACCTCCGGAAAACCTGTCACAGGATATTACGGCCGCAAAAGGGTTTCATCGTGTTTTCTAATCCTGTTACCCCTTTGACGACCGTGTGGCCCGCCGGTGGGCCACACTTTCGCTCGGTGGCGGCTCGTTTTTCGTGGTTTATTTCAGCATTTTTCATGTTTCAAAAGCACACATATACATTATCGAATCCGCGAAATAATGCGCTAATTACTACAAATAGAATTTTTGTAGAGTTAATAATTACTGATGAAAAAATTTGAAAAGAAGTGAAGTGACGCATGCATAACGGCGGTCGTCAAAGGGTTAAAAAAACAATCTTAGAACGTCTCTCGAACCTATGGCCACTATATTCAACTTTTCTACTGCAACCTAATCTATCGACCGTGTTGTCCGTACTCTCCCTCTCCGTCTAAATTACATCCCTCCTATACGCCGCCAAGCACATGGCTGTCCCACCAAGTGCACCGTTCCACTGGCTCGCCCAGCGATCGCTGAAGATCCACAGAGTGGTTTTTGAAAGTTTCTGTCTGGAATCTCATTTTTTTCATGTTTGAAATTTGTGCACTGCCTCTAGCTATTACGCACAACGGGGAAGAGAAGCACAAGTTCCCGTGGACCATTGTTTTAATCATGTCACGATTAGCGTGTTCTTTAGTGACCATTATAAATCAAGCATTCTTTCAGACGAATCATCGCCCCTCCTTTCACGAAGGTGTTGTTGTGAAGGTTAACGTCAACCAACGTTACGCTACTACATCTACGACTCACGCCGTTTTGAAACAAATTGCTGCGGAAGCAAACGTACCTTTGCAGGTGAGCATTACTGAGTGTCTTCCTCTCCTCTTACTGATTGGGTTTTTTTCAGAAAGTAGTCGTTCGGAACGACTCGCCTTGTGGATCGACAGTTGGTCCTATATTGGCGGCTCGCCTCGGTATACAGACAATTGATGTCGGCTGTCCCCAGCTGGCAATGCATTCCATCCGCGAAATGATCGACACAAGCAGCTTAACCCAAGCAACTAGGCTTTATGCGGTATTTTTTTCCATAGTTTTACCTCAATTTGAGGGCAGCAGCCAGCGACGATATACGAAACAACCGCCACCCTCGACTGGATGGAAGACTCTAATTTGAGTATTTCAGACATTCTTCAACAGGATGCGGTACGTACTTCCATCGCTGATGTAACAAGAAGGCCATTCATGAAAGAAAGCGAGTCACAGTTCAATAATTAATACAACTTGCTTTGTTTAATTATTATACACTTCGATTTTCTTAGGCCTCTTTTATTCCATTCGAGCATAAAACTAATATTTCAGAGACTTCTCTAAGTTCTCATTAAAAAAGGACTAAATTACGACATTCCGCATATCCACATAATTGTGAATGAGATGTGTTTATTCATCGTTCACCTTTCAAGTAATGGAGTACGATCACTTGAGCGAGGCTGACGGTTTCGATAAAAAAAAACATTTTGGGCCATGGTCATTCAAGAAGAGATGTGCCTTCGAAGGCTTATCTTGAGTGTTTTTTCTCAATCCGCTGAACGATTTCCTGATAGTTATGAAGG